TAACAAAATATTAATAGCATAGCAAACAATTATTATAACTGTACCTTTGCATACGTAGCTCATAAATGCCTCTAGAAATAATGAAAGTACGTGCGGATCTTAAAACCTTACAACGTAACAGATATAAAACAGGTGGTACTCACTGTAATAGGGTTTTAATTCGAGTGATCAAATTATAAGCAAATATACCTACTACATATACAAACAATCTGTATATCAAATTCATTTATTTATATGTCATAATCAATTCCGTCTAGATTTATTCTATTTAGTATACATACTAAACCATAAAACTATATATTAGTAATCAACACTTGCTATACTTGACTATATCACGAATATTTACCTTACAGTATTACTGAAATTATTAATATAAATGCTTGTAAACATGTTTGAATATTACTCTGTAATGCTACAAAAAAGTTGATACTTTACATTTCCATTCAATGCGTAAGATAAATCAATCGTTAATTTTATGCAAAAAAAAAACTTTATAGGCAGATACGTGTGTATCTAGAAATTAACCGATAATTTATATGCTTTCATCTACTAATTGACAGTTGTTTACAAAGACCAATTTAATGAGCACATTTAACATACGAGTCGGACACACAAGAAGCTCTAAAAAACACACAGACTAAACCCATAAATACTCGTAATCATAACTCATATCGAACAAATCGTACAAACTCGATAAAACATTAAACGAACTATTAATCGTCAGATCATTAATTAGCGACTAACGGTCCGTCGATTCTATCGGCCGTATAATTTTACATTGCAATGATAATATTCTAAAGGTGGATTTACACTAAATGAATAAATAATAATATATTAATAAAGGCTAGAACGGTCATAATATTGAAATAGATTAGACTAAACGATCAACGAAATAATGATTTTAGAATGTTAGTAAAATGCCCTTAGCTCGTTCGTATTTAAACAAAAAAAAAATGCTACCTATAATACGAATTGGAATAGAAAATATAGAGATAACAAGCTTTTACCCGCGACGTCGTCTGCGTGACAGAGATATGCTAATTGACGAAGATAAAAAGTAGGCTATATCTTTCTTCGTAGTTCTAGTGCCAACGTCTATACCAAATTTCATAATCTTCAATCAATCAATAAAAAAGAAAGGATTGTTAAAGTCCTCCGCCATGTCTGTCTATCTGTATGTTCGCGATGATCTCAAAAACTACTAAACGGATTTTTATGTAGTTTTCATTTACCAACACAGTTCCATTCCTGAGGAAGGTGTAGGTGTATAATTCTTATAAGGTTTTATATAAATCGGTTGAAAGTTAACTATGATTGAAAATGTCGGAAGAAAACAAACTGTGTATTATGAGCTTTCGTCAAAAACGCAGCCTAATCCGATATAACAAAACAATGTATGATAGGATTGTTTCTATTTTATAGGTTTACAAAAAAGTCTGCGACGGCATATGTTTATGTTTCATAAACAGTTTACTATACCCATTATGATATTTGCAATTGCAAAATCTATTATCAGTATTTATGGGAAATAAAATTAAAAATTAACCAAGTAATCTGATAATATGCTACATTTAAATCTAATTCATACTCGACCAAACGAGCTAATGCAAAAAGAAATTAAGTATGCTCTACTAACCGTGCGAGGGAGAAAGGGATTGTTAGTAATGGAATGGTTAGTCCCTTTTTTTTATGGGTGAAAATGGTATGTTAACCCCGCCTGCGCTAACGGTATACGCTTGCGGAGCACCAGTGAAGAGTGATAGATGAGAATGAAAACAGGCCAATTAGCCCATTATGATGAATTCATCAGGGATTAACCACGATAGTTTCAAGGGAGAACCGCGAGGAGGTCGACCTGGTTGGGTATATTGCTAGCAATGGGATTCTCAGTCTCCATTACTAACAATCCGTTTCCCCCCTATACCTATATATTTGTTATTAGGCCAATATATAGATATTTTATGTGTAATATATATTTTGTGCTATGTTTTTTTTTACGGTAGATGAAAATGGTATGGTAACCCCGCCTGCGCTAACGGGATACGCTAGAATGTGCTATATGTTACCCACCCCTACTTGGCAGGCGGATTTGATTGATTTAATGTTTTAAAAAGGTTTTAAGAATAGGACAGTTAGTCCGCATTACTAGCAATCCCTTCCCCACCCAACATGCAATATTTTAGTGAACCTGTTTACTGAGAGCCATCTATATATTTGATATCAATAATGTGCGCAGGTCAAATATTTTTGGTTGATGTTTAGCGTATTTAATTACGTACCTATTGGCGTGTGGTTTACGAAGTGAGAGTGTTTGATACCACAGACCGCAGAATACTAATACAATGTTGCAAATATACTGCAAGATGCTTTAACTTACAGAATCTTAGCTTTGCCTTCTATACAGGTTATATTGTATAGTGTAATTAAACCCTTACCGGCCACTCTTTAATCCCGTAACATAGCACATAAGGGCTCTTTTTACCCCAATTTATATTGGAAGTCGAATATGCAGGTTAGAAAAGATTGTTAGTAATTAGGACTAGCGACCAAATTACTGGCAATAGACCTTGCAGATCGACCTCTACTAGGCTCCCTAGAATCATAATGCAAGTTAATTCGTCACGATGATCTAACTGGCCTGTCTCTTCTTGACTCATTGGTACCCTATCTATGTATATGGGTAGTACAGACAGAGTGACTATTCCATTTTCATCATAAAAAAAAAATACCTTTAAAAAATTCATAAACATTTTCTAACAGGTATTTTTCTTTTTATTATGGAAGTAACTTACATCCTTGACTATCGGTAGATGTTCCAATGAGTATATATGGCAGCCTTTAAATTGCATATATTTTTACCTGAGATAAATAATAACTTTTTGTGGCTTTAAAGATTAAAGAGAGACCCATATTCAGCAATGGACAGTTAATTGCTGATATCATAATCATCATTGTATGATATGTATTTATTTAAATACATTAACATTTCAAACAACAAAACAAAATTATACTACTTTCATTAACTGTTGAGCATAAATCTCCCCTAGTTGCCACACTTGGCAGACGGATTGGCAACCGTAGTTACGCTTTAGAGATGTTTTAGACCCTCCTCGGCCTCTCTTAGTCGTTTTTTTACGACACCCACAAGAAAGGAGGTGGCCTATTATATACCGGGATCATACGACGTACCATAAGTAGATATTAAAACTTACACTATTGATTCATATCAATTGAATCAATTGTAAATATTACAGTGCTATGACGTAATTCACTCTATAACGTAATTATGAGGGTTTTGTTACGTATTTTTCTGCAGAGCCCTGAAATATTGTCAAGCAAATTAGCTCAATAAAACGGAATGCACGGTATTTAAATCGTTTTATGATAAACGCGATTATTTAATAAAATCGTCCATTAGGTAGTCAAATTTATGGTGTCCTTCAACTTGAATAGAAGGCCATAAAACCAGATTTATTTATATATCATTTTAGACACTTTGAAACTTTATTTTTATTGTCCAAATTTCACATCACAAATCGACCACACATCGAATAAAAAAGAAATAAGCTCACGACAGTAATCTCAGACTGTGTGATCAGAAATAATCGTTGACTATGCTGATTTAAACAATATAACCGAAAAATATATATATATGTTGATAAAATACGATCTAGACCCATTTAAACAGGATTAGTTTGAGGTGAAGCTGGAAGTTTTAGAAGATGGGGAGACCTTTACCCAACAGTGGAACATCATGAGTTAATAATATAACAGATAAAAGTAGAAAAGGCCACATATTTATTTAAATTGTCTGATATCCTCGAGATTAATATATATTGCACGTATTGAGGTACAATCCAGAATAATCTGATTTGAGTTTTAAATTTTTTTGAAATCATCCGATTGATAATCCAATCAAACCCGAGATCTTTATATAACCTGTAATGGCAAACAATCTGACGACTCACCTACTTAAAAGTTGAAACTGTTACCTGTGGCCATAAACATGGTGTTCCATGTACATTACAGAACATTCTGTGATACCCATACCCTAAACATTAAGGTGTTATGCCCTCGTACTATGTAATTTCACTACCATGTCCCACTTTCAAACCGAAACACCATCATGCTCGTACATCGACAGTACTCGTACTTCGCGGTAGAAATACGAGCGGGACAAAGGTCCATACGACTTTTGTACAAAGTTTCTCTGGCAAACCTAATTTTTTACAGAGCAAAATGCTTAATATTACACCACGATCATTATTGAAGTCGCTCCAAATCTTTAATTATTTGAATTTAGAATAAAGTAGACGGCTCTTGTTAACACTCTCACGTCCAATTTTTTATGAACTGAAGTTTATCATCAATAAACAATTGTATAACTGTTACTACATTTGTATTGTAGTAATTGTAGTTCCGGGTACGATTCCCACAATGGCACACGGATTTGTATGTTCAAGACACGCGTAGAAGCTCATTTATCTAATTGAGACACCTCAGCGCATACAGATTTGTTCTTAAATCAGGATTAGATGCGGTCAACTGTACACTGCAAACGCGTATAAACACATTATATAAATGTTAATGAAGTAAGATTTGTACTTATTATGCTTAGATGATACAGTCGCTATTATAACTTATCTACTAAAGCAAAGAAAAAAAATAAGTTACACTTAATTATGCACGATTCTTAAATACACTTGTTCTTAAAGACTAACTTTTGGATTAAATTGAGTATACTCGTACGTCAACTGAATGATAGCTTATTAGCCTTCTATGCGATGTGATTTCAATCAGATCGAAATTCGATTGCGACAAAAGTAAGCCTGCCATCCTTCAAAGACAGGAACAAAATTTGGTAACGAGCAACATCAACTATGCTGTCATGTAGATATTAGCATATTAATCATTTAACTATTTAATATTAAATGTCAATGAATCACGAAATGTAGATGAGAATCAAGTAATTGTAGTAATCGGAAAATTCCGGATTACAGGCAAATGTTCCCTCAAATGAAGTTCCGCGTCTCCGGTTTGGACGCGAAGGCCAAATACATCCTGCTGCTGGACATCGTCGCAGCAGATGACTACCGCTATAAGTTTCACAACAGGTAGAGCCCACTCACTCACTGCTGGAACGTCATTTCACACTACGACCATCTCACGACACCGATCCGGCATGCTCGGGCCAGACTCTCCCATCACCGGCAGCCACGTCGTTTGTAAACAGCACATATAAATGATCCGTTACACGCTTCCATCATTTAGCTTGTGATTCTGCCCACGCATTGCACTAGTTCCCATCACAAACCATCGATTCTTAATTACGTCTAAACAATTTGTAAGAAACGCTTAATTTAGGGTCAACGACATTTTACGACAAGTCAGCACCGACTGGAATCATCTGTCGATTAAGAATTCAAGTCGCATCCAATGGGTAATATCATTAAAATATCTTTGTCTCAAACACCGCAGTGGTAACGAAAAAAGCCGACCGTCACCGCGACAGAGGTGAGAAATACTGCGCGCTCCTCCGTCGGATCGAACGAAATTAGAACTAACGATGATCTTGTTGATCTGGTCCACATTAATTGTTATCTTCCGGCTCTCGATGTCTAAAGCATCCTTCAAACTCACATCACAGAACGATAATCATCATATTTGATCGTGTACATTGTTTAATTCCCGATGACAAGCATCGATAAGGAACGTTCGTCCGCTTTATGTGCGCCCGATCGACGAATATCAAAACCGCCGACGCGCAGGTTTGGCAACATCAAGATGTGGCCGATAAACTTCGATTTAATAACCGTTAATTAATACAACTCGAGTGTTCTGACCGAAAATGCGCTGTGACTCAGCAGTAAATGGTAAACGCCGACAAAAGGCGGGCTGGCTAGCGCCGTTAATATGGTAATTAATTTACAAATGTTTAGCATATAATTTCTTCGATTTATAACCTCTTATGTGGGCGCAGACTTGATTGTTTTCCAAGTTCTCTGCGCACCAGAGTCATGTCCGCTCGTGTTAAATTTTCGCATCGTGCCACATTTGATCACGTGCGGCAGTTTCAATGTTGCACGTCTGTGCGAAACCGCACAATGGCCGCGTACCTCACCATTTTTGGTCGGTCTCTGGCGGAAACATTGTCTTTTTGTTCGTCAAGAATACTTTGTGACACCTCATTCGGTTGTCGCGCCTCTGATTAGACCTGATTCAGATGAATACACCGAATATAGGTTTAACAATTTCAAATGATCTTCCATTTTCTGTTCCGACTGGACATAAGTAGTCAGAATATTTGAGCCCAATAACGCTAACAAAAAAGCACTAATTAACGCGGTACAAGATCACAAGCTAAAAGGATCGCTTCTCGGGAGCAAATGGATGTAAAAAGTGAAACTAGTCCAACAGCATGTCTTACAATCGACGTGATGTCAAATCGTTGTCGCAAAGAACGAGTCCCAACCCATGTTTTTCTCTCGTATTGCTTGCAGACGTATGTTTCCTGCCTACAAAGTTCGCGTTTCTGGTCTTGATAAAAAAGCAAAGTACATTTTGCTAATGGACATCGTAGCTGCCGACGATTGCAGATACAAATTCCACAACAGGTATAAATAAAGAAATGAAGGAATTAAATTAAAATAAGAAAGTTCTAGTAGTATGACTTAAAGGGTTAGCGAGGTACTATCGTCAGTTTATCTTATTTTAATGTAATTCGTGATACTGAAAAAAGAATTAAAGAGGCAAGAAGCATGCGTATTGTTTACATATTGATGTGGAACAGATAGGGGATCTGCGTGTTTTGTACAATCCATTATATATAGGTACGTCAACTTGAAGCAAATATTGCGCAGATGTATTTCGGTTTTCTCAAAATCATACACCACCTTGTTTGTTGTCCAAACATTTTCTACCAAAATTTACGTTGTTAATTTAATTTGTATCTTTATATTTTAATGTTTGATTACTGACCCAAGTTTTTTATTTAAATTAGGACCATATTATTTTTTATTCCGTCGAACGCAGATCTCTTTTCGTTCATATTTGTTTTCATGCTATTGAATTGTAGTGTTATTTAATAAACTGCTTGAATAGCGCTATTTACTGACAGCATGAGCTTATTCATCAACTGAATCATAAACTAGATCACCGCATGCTTTACAAATAAATTCATAATTTATTATTTCCTTGAATGCTTTAGCTACCAATTTGATACATCAAATATTTATATCAGAATTCAGAACAGGTGTTCCTTTCTAATTAACATAATTGATTGGATAATTATACAGACACCTGTTAATATTTATATCTTTGTAATTTTCTATATCTTACTACAAAAAAGTATATAAAGCATTATAATTTTATCTTAGTAACACCCGTAAACCTCAGCTTTAATTTTAAACTGCTACCTAGACGGAAAATAAACAGTTTCTAATGCTTGAGCAGTTCATTATATCTTGTGCCTTTGTTTCCGGAGCCGATGGATGGTTGCCGGCAAAGCCGACCCAGAAATGCCGAAAAGGATGTACATACACCCAGACTCACCTTCGACGGGCGAGCAGTGGATGCAGAAAGTGGTATCATTCCACAAACTAAAGCTGACGAACAATATCAGCGACAAACACGGATTCGTGAGTACCGACTTTATTTGCTCTGGCTTTATAATAGTGAAATTTTATTTTAATGTTTATAACCAGTAATACGAACTCATCAAGTATATATATTATCTTTTAGTTATATAGAAATTATAAAAATTATAGTAGAAATACAAAATTACAATCGTTTAGGCAAAAAAAAAACCAAAAGTAGCAGTCCGCCGAAACATCGTATTCTTTTTTGTAGCTAACAAAAAGTTTATAATGTGGGTGATATTATAATTAAAAAGAGGATCACGGCCAGGACCCCTGTCGACGGACAGCGGGGGGGCATTGTGCCAGCCACGGTTATTATGGCTATTTACTTTGGGTACCCATCATCTCATGCAGTTTAGTAATTCTCTATAGATAATCGTGACATTATGCTTTCAACAATAGCTGTTGGAGGTGAATAATCTGCAGTTGAAGTGATGTTGCTTTCTAGACACCAAATGCTATTGGTATTTTAAATTTCGAATTTTGAATTTCATTTTAAATAATATAATACATATATGTTTTAACATCTCTGCATTTGCAGCTTCAGATATTCTTCACTAGATGGAAGCAAAAACTAAAATTAGAAAGTACACAATTGTACCTCTTATCATTCTGCTCCTCTTTTCACATAGCTGACCTCCCACCTTCCTCTTTACTCGCATCAAATATGACTCTAATGTGTACATTCGAAAAAAGAACTTACCACGATTTCTATATACCTATAGACATAAATGCGCGTGTAAAAAACATCGTCTATTATCCACGCAAAGATTCATTCATGATAATGACATTTTTGTATGAAGTATTTGTGATGTTAGGTAAAACGATGCCCAATAATGAGATATTATTGGGTTGTTATCGTTATAATCTTCGTAATATAATAATATATCCATACTCGTTCTTTTAAATTATCAATTGAAAAAACATCACAGAACTGTGCTAATTCATCACGCATCTTCTCGGTGGCATTTCAGCCAAATACATCAGTTTCTCATTCTAATAGATATTTCGCAAAAAAAAATTGTATTCTGTTATGGGGCAGGGTTTTAACACAGTTGGTATTTTTGAAATGACTAGACTCGTAGAGTATTCTGAATTGAACTGTATTTATTATTACAAATCGTCCATATATATAGTAGAGATATCTTAATTACTATTTACAATTACAATAGTCAAATACTTCCATCGAAAGAGTGACAACAAATACAGATAATAACTTACTAATGGAAATTTGTATGAGATAAACAAATATACAAATATGAATATTAAACAATATAATGATTTCGATATCAAATGGACAAATACAAATATACAAATAGGAATGTCAAATATTATAATGATTAGGTCGTAGGCTGACACATGGTCTTAGGTCACGTACTCTTAATATATGTAACACCTCCCCCTTAGAATAAAGATTGGGCTTGAGAGCTTGATCTTTGAACTCTCGGTGTTGAAGTTCTTGGATAATTTTCTTCATTTTCCTCTTCGTCTTCCGTTACGCAGGTACTTGTTGCTATAGTAGTCATCGGGACGGCAACTTGGATTCTCTGACGTCGTGATGTGTTTGAAAAACAGTTGTTAAATATTTGTATACAACTATTATCACGGCTTGGTCTTCGGTTACGCAGGAGTAGGTCAAAATTAGCAAACGTAGTCCTAATCCATTAGGACAACGTTTGCTAATTTTATAAATGAAGTATCCTAGCATTGTTATGAATAACACGAAGTATATCCATGTAAACGTTGACGAATATCTTTGTAAGATTGGTCGAGATCTCATATTTTCTAAGCTTTCCTTAAATTTATCGACATGATGTTTTATTTGTTTCAGTGAATCCAAAGGCATTTCATTAATTTTAATAGGAATTAAGTTTGGAGCTTCAAAGTTCTTGTATTCTTCAAAGCAATCGTCTGTTCTAATGTCTGGAACTATTACAGGATATGTTACATTTTCTTCAATAGATTGAAAGGCTGTTAGCGTACTATACCCAGTATAAAGTTTGCAGTTTTCCGGTAAGGATAAAATGCCTGCTCCTTGTAATTTATGATGTGTAACTTCCGTTTTACATTGAAGTATACAATTAGTGTCTTCTGTAAGTATGTAAAGCCATTGGTTGTTGTCAATGTTTTGAAAAGTGTTAATTCTTGCTTCAAATGTGGATGTGGTACAAATTTCAGGTAAAGTCTTTGAAATGCTTAACAGGATCTGGAGCTCACATAATGGACGTGATGCTGCTTCATATGCGACAAAAGAGGTGCAGATCTTCTTCTTTATAGCGTAGGACTTGCATGAAGTGAGGTCGCTCGTAGATACGTATATATTACCGCTAGGATTTGTAGCCAAATGCATGTGCTCAGGTAGGATGGTTGTATGCAGAGAGGAATTAAAATGTTGGATTGGAATGGAATATATGTGATAGAGATTGAGAGGTTCGCCTTGAATTAATGGAAAATCTAATATGTATACAAGCCTATCAGAATATACATAAGCAGAAAGAGAAGATAAGTTTAATATTTGATTTTACGAACAATATGCTTGCTAAACAATCATTAATTTCATTTTCTAGATTTATTACGGATTCTACTATCTGCAAAGAAATTACGGAAATGTCTACACTAGCCTAATCTAAAGATTTAAAATAAAGAACCTTTTAACTTGAATGTAAGTCATCGTTGAGACTGAATATTTTCATTAATTATTCGATCATCATAAGTTATCTTAAATATACTTTCATTGAAGTTTTTAGTTGTTGAAGAAATAATTAAGATTTGTTCGAGCATCAAGAAAGAAGATTCTATTACAAGTTTTTTTCTAATTTATTAAGGTAATATCGAATTGAACAAACATAAGAACTATTATTTATAAATTTATGTTTTAATTATGTTTTATTTTTTATTAGAAATAAAGACGATTTTAGGACGATTCGTAAGCTAACGAATATAACAAAAATGATATTTTGTATAATGATTAAAATTGATTGATTATTGAAGAATTATTGATTTAATTGATTATTGAAGAATTATTGATTTAATTGATTATTGAAGAATTATTGCTTTAATTGATTATTGAAGAATTATTGATTTAATTGATTATTGAAGAATTATTGATTTAATTGATTATTGAAGAATTATTGATTTAATTGATTATAGAAGAATTATTGATTTAATTGATTATTGAAGAATTATTGATTTAATTGATTATTGAAGAATTATTGATTTAATTGATTATTGAAGAATTATTGATTAAATTGATTATAGAAGAATTATTGATTTAATTGATTATTGAAGAATTATTTATTAAATTGATTATAGAAGAATTATTGATTTAATTGATTATAGAAGAATTGTTGATTTAATTGATTATTGAAGAATTATTGATTTAATTGATTATAGAAGAATTATTGATTTCATTGCTTATAGAATAATTATTGATTTAATTGATTATTGAGGAATTATTGATTTAATTGATTTTGAATATTGCTTATAATAAATTAATACTATAAGTTGTTTGATGTGGAAACAACTTAACATGTTAGAGCTATTCTTTGTACAAGCCGGCGTCTATACGGCTCATTGTTTGTTAGTCGCCTTATACGACACGTCAAATCTGAACGTCAGTGCTATTCTTTGGTAAAGCCGACTACTACACGGCTGATTGTTTGTTAGTCGCCTTATACGACACGTCAAATCTGAACGTCAGTGTTATTCTTTGGTAAAGCCGACTACTACACGGCTACTTGTTTGTTAGTCGCCTTATACGACACGTCAAATCTGAACGTCAGTGCTATTCTTTGGTAAAGCCGACTACTACACGGCTACTTGTTTGTTAGTCGCCTTATACGACACGTCAAATCTGAACGTCAGTGCTATTCTTTGGTAAAGCCGACTACTACACGGCTAATTGTTTGTTAGTCGCCTTATACGACACGTCAAATCTGAACGTCAGTGTTATTCTTTGGTAAAGCCGACTACTACACGGCTACTTGTTTGTTAGTCGCCTTCTACGACACGTCAAATCTGAACGTTGGTGCTATTCTTTGGTAAAGCCGGCTTCCACACGGCTACTTGTTTGTTAGTCGCCTTCTACGACACGTCAAATCTGAACGTTGGTGCTATTCTTTGGTAAAGCCGGCTTCCACACGGCTACTTGTTTGTTAGTCGCCTTCTACGACACGTCAAATCTGAACGTTGGTGCTATTCTTTGGTAAAGCCGGCTTCCACACGGCTACTTATTTATTTAATTAACGAGTTTATTTATTTCATATTAACGAGTTTATTTATTTCATAAGGTCTTAATCTATTTGCGTGAACTAACTGATGTCTCCCGGATTTACGAATAACATAATTTTCATTAAAGCCTACACGTATCACATCGAATGGCCCTTCCCACTTATTATCTAAATTATTTGGGTTAGGGACCTTGATCATCACCTTGTCACCTACATTAAATTTAGCAATATTTTTAATTTTCCCGTCGTAACGTTCCTTGGCTTTTTCTTTCATTTTCTGAACGTTCTGTGTTGCGACATCGCGGGCTATTCTAAGTCGTTCGTTTAAATCTTTAATATAATCGAATGCAGTATAATCGGGTATTGTTTTTAATGAATAAAAAGGTCTTGGTTTAAAACCAAATAGAAGTTCGTAGGGTGTGAAACCTGTAGAGCTATTAACTGAGGTGTTATGACATATAATAGCCAGTGGAATAATTTGATCCCAATTTTTCAATTTACGTGCCTGGTACATTCGTATGTGATCTCGAAGTGTGGCATGAAACCTTTCTAATGCACCATTAGTTTGAGGGTGGTAAGCTGTATTAAAAGTTTGACTTGTACCGAGAAGTCTTATTAATTGCTTCATTAGTCCATTCATGAATTCAGTACCTTGGTCAGAATGGAAACGTCTAGGTACACCGAAATGTTGACAGAAGTGAAAGAGTTGCTTAGCAACTGTTAGAGCTTCTTTATCAGAAATTGGATAAGCTTGGACGTACCTAGTTAGTT